ATGGGATCGACGGGGCCTAGACTAACAAATCACCACTCTGTGACTTGGATTGACAGATTGCATTTGATTAGACATTATGACACTATTTGAGAGAAGTGCTTTGTCGTGTGACGTATTAGTTTGTAAACATGTTAGAAGATCTCATGTAGTAGAGGGTCAGAGTTAATGCATGAAACACATAACAAATTGTATACTGTCAAGGAGCTAAGATATTGCATAAGAATAAGAAATAGATATTATAATAACTGTGTGCGGGCAAGCCTGAATCCGTTGACTGGGGTAATAATATATTTGTAAAGCGCTTGGAGATATCTTCGATGTATTAAAGGCACACTGCCATACTTGTAGCTACTTGCTCCCTCTATATAGAAAACTTCCCCAATCGGTGCCTGTTGGTCCCCCATGATCCTCTTTTTCTTATGTTAAATGAGAGCTGAGTTAATGAGATAGCCACCTGTCACAGTGACCTCGATGGCTCTCTGTGTGGTCTAATCCCTTCTGGCTCAGTAGTGGTGACGGTCTTTAAGCGCTATATAAACGCTGAGTATTATTACTATTAATAATAATGGATTAGAGAAGCTTATCAACACTGGGCGAGAGATGGCGCTGAAGGAAAGGAATAACGATTGGTAATGATAAATAATGGTTGTCCACGAAAACTGTGTAATGTTGTTTTATGATGTATTCGTTGTGCATCTGGTCACATGTCGGATTCATAGATAGGTGTATGAATTAACCTAGTAAAAAACAATCTGAAAGACCATCAATCTAAATCAGTAAAGAAAGAGAATAAGAAGGGCGCAAATGAAGTAAGTGTAAGTGTGAGTATGGACCTTACACAAAGGGAAGACTAAATGTATATAGTTGATAAATACATTAATCATGACGTTATAAGATTGACGTCATCAGGTTACTTGATCCTAAGTCGGTTATAGTTAAAAGTCATTATCCTTTCAACACTTTAAAGTCGTATTTTGGGAATATTGTATTAAGTAATTTTTAAACGTCTATTCATCCCCTCTCTTTCTCTCTCTCTCTCTCTCTCTCTCTCTCTCTTCACAATTAGAACAATGGCGAATTTGATACAGTTTTTATATTATTGTATTAAGTTTGTTTTTTTAAATCATATTCACACCCTCTCTTTCTCTCTCCCTCTCTTATGTCTCCTCTTTCTCTTTCTCTCTCTCTCTCTCTCTCTCTCTCTCTATTTCTCTCTCTATTAGACCAATGAGGCGTTAAATACAGCTTTTGATACATGGGGTGGGGATACAATCCTTCGGCTGTGAACGCCACTTTAAAGCTTGAAAGCTATGGGCAGCGCTACCCGCCCCCAACCCCAATAAAAAGTATGTTTAGTAATTTTCATTATAATAAACGACTGTTACTTTTTAAAAAAAACTCTCTTTTTTTTGTCTTCTTTTTTTTCGGTGGATTTATATTTATGTTGATACCCAAAGTAATTAAAAAGCTTACAATCTTTTAAAAATGGGCAAATTTTGCCCAGCATGAAAGTACTGTGGGGTCCAACCATACTTTGGGCATTCTTTTTACCCAGCCTGGGAGAGATATTGTCTCAATAGGGTCAGAATAACGAATATTTACTTCAAATTGTTGATCTTTCATATCATATTCGTAACCATGGTAACACTCACTGCCTCTTTTTCTATCTCTCTCTCAATATATATCTTTCTATATTTCAACATTGAGTTAATTTTCATTAAAAGTATCTCGTAAGTCATTTACATTGTGTTATGAATTAGGTTATGATTTAAAAATACGTAGACCAGTTCAAAGAATTTAAATTTGAAATTGAAATTTTAATTCTTCTCATTATCGGTACACATAGGCGCCGGAAGTGGGGGGGCAGGGGGGGGCAGTTGCCCCCCCAGTCAAAAAAGTGGGGGGGCAAAACGCATTTTTGCCCCCCAAAAACGCCCCCCCCCCCTCCAAAAAAAAAAAAAAAAAGCAGTAAAGGAATAAACATGGTTTGTATTTTTAACCCAAAAGAACATAACAATAATAAAAACCTGAATTAAAGCACATATACCATTCCATTCAAAGAAAAGGAAAGTTCACAGGAATTAAATTTTTATAAACATTGCGCATGCTACCTATACGGTTTATAATAGCGATACGCGCATATCGTGGACATATTGTGCGAGAATAGGAAAACGTGTCTGTTTTTTTAGTTTTGTTATAGGGGTGAGAAGACATGAGCCCCTGAACGCTGGCGTACTGATGGGGGGGGGTATATCTATACGATACCAGTGATTTACACATGATGCTGTTATGACATGATTTTCCGGTATTTTTTCTCCATTTTTCTTTAAGTCATAGCTTTTTATGCGTTTGTTGGAAAATAAGAAATTCCCAAATTACAGTCGGGCGAAAAATACGCTTATTTAGAAGCCTTTATGACATGGTCTGCAAAGTGGCTGGGCTCGAGCCCCTCCCCCCTCACTTTTTGAAAAAGTATGTTAAAGAGAAAAAGAAAGAAAGACGGAGAGAAAAAATAAGTGACCTGCCAATGTCACAAATAAGGCATAAAAAATGCTCATCTGACCGTAATTAAATGCCTAAAACCCCAGAGCTTACGGGTGCTCCGCCCCCGGACCCCACCAAGGGCCCTAAGGCGGGCCCCTGGATGCTCATCTGACCGTAATTAAATACCTAAAACCCCTGAGCTTCCGGGGGCTCTGCCCCCTGGACCCCACCAAGGGCTCTAAGGCGGGCCCCTGGATGCTCATCTGACCGTAATTAAATACCTAAAACCCCTGAGCTTCCGGGGGCTCTGCCCCCTGGACCCCACCAAGGGCCCTATAAGGCGGGCCCCTGGATGCTCATCTGACCATTATTAAATACCTAAAACCCCTGAGCTTCCGGGGGCTCTGCCCCCTGGACCCCACCAAGGGCCCTATAAGGCGGGCCCCTGGATGCTCATCTGACCATTATTCAATACCTAAAACCCCTGAGCTTCCGGGGGCCCTGCCCCCTGGACCCCACCAAGTGCCCTAGGGCGGCCCCTGGTTGCTCATCTGACCGTAGTTAAATACCTAAAACCCCTGAGCTTCCGGGGGCTCTGCCCCCTGGACCCCACCAAGGGCCCTATAAGGCGGGCCCCTGGATGCTCATCTGACCATTATTAAATACCTAAAACCCCTGAGCTTCCGGGGGCTCTGCCCCCTGGACCCCACCAAGGGCCCTATAAGGCGGGCCCCTGGATGCTCATCTGACCATTATTCAATACCTAAAACCCCTGAGCTTCCGGGGGCCCTGCCCCCTGGACCCCACCAAGTGCCCTAGGGCGGCCCCTGGTTGCTCATCTGACCGTAGTTAAATATTAAAACCTCTGAGCTTCTGGGGGCTCCCCCCCCCCCCCTCTGGAACACGTCAATGGCCTTAAAGAGGCCCCTGGATGCTCATCTAACCGTAATTAAATACCTAAAATCCCTGAGCTTCCGGGGGCTCAGCCCCTTGACACCCTGCCGAGGCTGGACCCCACGCCAATTTACGCTCTACCTGATCGTTAATACTTCACTTTGAAAAACGTTCCGCGGGACCTGCATGTAACGTGTAAGACTGGTGGTGATGCAGATTTTTCGTCTGCCCCCCCCCCCCCTTCCGAACGTTTTTTCTCATTACGTCACTGCCCTCGGAAGGTGAGCCCCCTGGAATGTTTGCCCCCCCCCCCCAATCCCAAACTGCTTCCGGCGCGCCTGTCGGTACAATATGGTAAACATAGAGGTCAGTACAGTAAATAACCAGATCACAGAAGGAGGCAAAAACTTGGAAAGCAAGGAGGAATGGCTCAGTGGCAGAGCAGTGGTCTCGTAACCGCGAGGTCCCGGGTTCGAAACCAAGTCAATGCACTCGTTTATCGTTGATTTAAAGCCGTCGGTCTCCTGCTTGTTTACTTGCACGCATATCCTTGCTTCCTTATCAGTCAGGTAAAAAAAGTCATCAAACAATCATCGACCAATGTATTGGGAGTGGCCATAACAATATAAACAAGTTAGTGTACGAACATCATTATGCCTATGATAATATGCTTTTTGCATCTAAATGAGGTATCGATCGCAGAAAAGAGAATTATACTTTCATACCACCTCTATCTCTAGAAAAACTGAGGATAAAGTTAAGCATTAGAAAATAATTTCATTTGAATTGTATATTAAGTTTAACTATATTATTCGCACATGATGCGTCATTTGCGTATGTAACGGCGTAATAAAAATTACGCCTCGTGCACGTTTCAATTTCATTTTTTTTTTTTTTTTTTCAATTTATTTTATTTTCACATTCTGATAAATATCACAATAACAAACATTTACAATACAAAGTCAATTCAAACAAATAACACAAACAGAACAGAAGAATCAAAATGTGGGGGGACAAACAAGGCCAAAGGCCTATCAAAGGCTTGTCCTCAAACTATATCAATAATTAAGTATAAATTAAGTGGTACAACAGGAAGACAGGAAAAAAAGGCAAACGTACCGCTTTGCAGACTCAGAGGGTGTATGCTTTGATAAGATTAGATTTATATATTCTTTTAAAACAGTTTCTGACGCACTGTGTTAAGGAATCACTGCACAATAAATAGTGAATGAGCTGCGTCGAATTGAGCATGCGTTAATTTTATGCAGAGGACTGATTAGCACATGTATCGACGCAATCGAAATGATGCCTCATGCACGACGCACCTGGCCCCGTTTCATAAAACCTTGATTTCAGTAATATGTTACAAGAACTGTTATATGCTATTGTAATCATTGCATTTGATTAGCTGTTGGCAGATTTGCTAAGGAAATATGAGAGTTGTTATTGTTGATAATAATTTTGTTGAAACAGGTCCCTGATTGATTACATTTATTTTGGGGATTAACGCCGACAGGCAACTTTTGCTTTTGTCTTTCCCATCCACATACAGCATACTAGTTTATTCATTATTTCCCGCCTTTGTCATGTACTTGTTAGTTAGGCTAACGTTAGGTTCCGTGTACTCCTTTGCATTTTATGAAATTGAATCGAATTGAATTGAATTTATTTCCACATTTGCATTAAAAATACAGAAACTCAGTTATATAAAAAAGTAGAAATATATAAAGTAAACAAACATCAAATACATGCAAATCATAAAGAAGATAAAAAGGACATATTTACACGACTTGAAAAACATACAATGTAGGCTAAAAGTGGCGGGATCAAAAAAGTTTGTTTAAAACTTATGTCCATGATCCCGTACTGTTTAGAAGCATTCATACCTAAAGACAACATAAAGCACACCAAGCAATAAACACAATATATCGATACTAATAAAAGGCATGAATGTTATTGCATTCACTATCTATTTAAAAAATAATTACTCATTATATATTCTTTTATCATTATTATAATTTTGTGTGTGCATATATTTACTTAAATGTGGAAATTAAAGCCATACTGAACTAGAAGCACTACCGCCAATCCTCTCCAGCACCATCTCAGGTCAGCCGTAGCAGTGTGGTCCCGTTACTTGCTGCCTCTCTAGTGGTGCTATTGGTTCTCGCATCAAGTCCTTGGTCGGCAAAGTGGGAAATGGTTTTGGGTAACGCACTGTTGGAGAGTTGACCATGAGATGGCGCTGTGCAATAAACTGTACGCTATATAGGCAGAAAGTTCATCTGTTCAGAATCGCTTTAAATAAATGAAATGATATGAAATTATTACAGACTGAAAACAAGCTTGCAGACATAATGCATGGCTTCTTCACACGAGGAATCTTGCCATCTCTCGGCCAAGTGTGGATGCATAAGCACGCAGTTTTCATCTGGGTCGGAGTAATCAGGTTGTGAGTCGGGAACCCAGGAGGTGTAGTTGACGGGTGAACCATCGGTCCATATGAACGGCTCAGTCAAGCCTTCATTCGGTTGATAGAGTCCTAACCACAGGTAATAAGATACCTGAAAAACATAAATCAAAATGGCTGACTTGTTTAAAACGATACGAACGGCTCAGTCACACCTTCATTCTGTTAATTGAGCCCTAATCACAGACATTTAGCGATGCCATATACCTGGAAAACATAAATCAAAATGGCTGACTTGTTTGAAAAGATGGTGTCTCTTCTAGGGGTTACGAGCACCTGGCAGTACCGACGGCCCTCACGAAGAGCATTACATTGATCTGACGCTATCATGGGGAAATTTGATTACAAGGTTAACCTTTGAGGGCGCTACCAGGAAAAAGGATGTAGAAGGACTTTTATTCCTCTGCTAAAATCTCTCCAAATCCACCTTAATTAAGCTACTTTTGAACTATCTGCTTACATCGTATGGTAAAGTTATACTTGATTATTTGGATTTTCTGATATTTTTGAACATTTGTGTCCATCTGTGTACTGATAATGTCAAATACCAGATCTAAATCCGTCACCAATACGGGCAAACTGAGTGGCACGCCCATTTCTAACACGTACGCTATACGTAGAAGCGGTGTCGGAATTCAGAATCCAATTTGACAAATTTTCTTCGATCGTCCTTGACAAACTTGATTGTGTTCGTGATGAATTGAAAAAAAAAAAAAATCTTCTCTTCATGAAGTTGAAGCATTATCGGCAGATTCAGCGGCGAGAATTGATACACTTGAACGCGTGACCCTCCCTGCTATGTCAAAAACGCAGAAGGAATGTGACCTTAGTATGCGTGACTCATTAGTCGCCATGGAGATCCACGATCGTAAACAAAATCTTCCAATATTCTGTATGAGTGCCAGTATATCTGTTCCTATTCATTCATTCTGTGGTAAATCATTAGGTAAAAGAAGAAAGACATTACCGTCTCACATGTATTACAATCAGGATAAGATCTCGAGTAAAGCATATATTGTTGAAGCATTTAATAGGTATTTTGTTAATATTGGAAAGCTTACACAAGAAAAGATACCTCTTCCTAATTTCTTCCTCTCATTTTCTGGATTATTTATCAAACCGTGTACCAAGTTCACTGTTCTTTAATCCGACTTCCAATACTGAAATAATCAATGTTCTCTCATCCATGAAAACATCTGCTGCACCAGGTTCGGACTCTATTGCTGCACGTGTCATTAAGGAATGCATTCATACAATTGTTGATCCACTTTGTTACATCTTCAATGAATCAATGTCACAAGGTATTGTCCCTGATTAACTCAAGACCGCTAAGGTAATCCCAATTTACAAAAAAGGTGACAAACATGACATTATTAACTACAGACCAATTGCTCTATTGCCTTTTTTTCAAAAATGTTAGAAAGGATAATTTACGACTGGCTGTATAAATTTGTTGTACTTAACATTATTTAATACCCCAACAATTTGGATTTCTAAAGAATTTTGCTACCGATCTTGGGGTACTAAACTTGGTTAATATAGGTTTTCCCGCTCAACTTCGTAAACTAATACCCCATTCACAGTGGTTTTGAAATTTGTAGCGGCGTTGTAGCGGAGCGGCGACACCGCCATAACACCGCTACAAATGCATTCACAGTAGAAAAGTTATCCCGCTGCAGCAGCGGGATAAATATCATGTACCCATTCACGCTGCAGCGGGTGATTTTTATTACCTCCGTAACAAACACGTGTATGCATGGCTCATGACCCGCGAGTGACCCCGATATGACCGGAAATACTTCAGCGCGGGGTTTTCGATTGCTTGAAATTGTATCCTCGATCATATTACTTTTTAAAAAACTAGCATTTTTATTGCTTCCAGTCAGAATATTTTAATTGTTTGAAGTGTGAAATATTTTTATTTGGATAATTATAATATCTACATAATAATAAAATCAATTTGAATCCACTGGTTACTTTATTTCTATTTCACTTTATGTTCCCCATTGCTGGAGAAAAGAGGTCAGTGATAGGTAAGTAAACAAATCACACGTGTTTGTCGCGGTGTTATAGCGGAGAGCCTTCACACTGAGTAAACACCGCGACAGCAGCGGGACTGTCCCGCTGCTGTAGCTAGGCGAACCTAGCGATAGTTTGTCGCGGCGTTATCGCGAGGCGGTGTTATCCCGCGATAGTTTATAACGGGTCCGAGCCTTCACACTGAAGACAACACCGCGACAGCAGCGGGACAGTCCCGCTGCTGTCGCGGTGTTTGAGGCCACTGTGAATGGGGTATTAGTATCCGAATTAACGTTATGTTCATTCAAGTTCGTGCGAAATTGAATGACTATGTAGATCAACATTCAAAAAGCTAATTGCGTCATTTAATTTGATTTAGTAGCATGCGATTTCATACTCTTGTCACGGAGACGTGCAAAACGAGCATTCAATTTAGAAAAGCGTGAAAAGAGCATTAAAATTCGCGCCGGACAGACGGTGGTATGTATTCGTGCATTCATTTTCGTGATTAGTCATACATATGTGACTCTGTGCATTGCTTTTCATTTGATGTTAATTTTTCACTAAATATACTTCTGTTTGAATAATTTTATGCAAAGTTTACTTGGAGGAATGTAATGCGTATTCGTTAGTAGATATCTATCATTACACAGGTAACTGTCCTCAGAGAAGGTGCACAATTTGTGACTTCTCTTCTAAGCACAAGCTATATAAACAAATCCTGGACAGAGGTAGAGTTCAGCTTTAATAGACATGGACATGATTGAAACAAAATACAATGATGAATAAAGAAAAGAAAGAAAGATCACCTACTCATTCAAGATTGATAAAAACAAACCATTTCAAAAATAACCTCAAAGACATTTATAATGCAAAATATATGTTTCATCAAAAATAAAGAATGTCGAAAGATAACATGCAATATAAATATATCAGACAAATAAGAAGATTGTATAATGTGTAATCATGTTAGAAAAGATCATAGAGAAAAAGAATAAATAAATAAACACGAAATACTGAATATCCTAATAAACATTGAACTTCATAGACGAAAATGAAACCGCAATTCGCCTAAGAATTCTCATCCCAGTCAACATTGGCGAAATTGAATGACCCTTACGCATTTCCAAATTGACTGAACCAAGGTTTAATTTGAATGTGCATGTTTAGAAAATTCGGTGACTCGAAACGAAATTGAATGCAACAAGTTTAAAAATGAAACAGGGGAGCAACGAGTGGAGAAAATTTGCTCGAACATGAATGCACGTTAATGAAATCGAATGCTGCTTTGACGAATTGGCCGGGAAAACCTATACTATATCAAATGAAATAGATGTTGGTAATTATTGCCTTAGTGTATTTATGGACCTGTCAAAAGCATTTGACATCATTGATCACCACATCTTGTTAAAAAAATTAGAATTTTATGGAATTAAAGGGGTTCCACTTCAGTGGTTCGTCAGTTACTTGTTACGTAGAAACCAATATGTTTTCAAAAAGCTAAGCAGGGAAATCTTAAAATCTTAACTTCTTTATAATATGTTCTTGATATTCTTATTCGCTCTTCTTTTCTCTTTGCCCTTATATATAAATGTAGATATAGATTTTGCTGCTGCTGCAAGAAGTGTACTTCTCTTTTTTGTCCTTTTTTATATTAATGTTCAGATTTTCGTTGTATAAGTATTGTTGATCTTTCAATGTATTTTAATTTGGTGGCCCCTTTTTGTAAGCTCTGCTTTCTCCGGGGTCACCAAACCATCATTGTGTTCTGTTAAAATTTCGATGTAACTTATTCTGATTGTATATATATTTTGACGGTTGAACCAATAAATAAATTGAATTGTATTGAAAAATTGAATTGAAGCTTGCCTAAAGGCCCGGTCACACAGAGGGGACGCATGGGGAACGCACGGCCAGCGCATTGGAAATTTGCAATTTTGGCCAGTGCGTTGTCGTGCGCCCAACTTTTGTCGTAGCTACAGCGAGCTGACACCAAATGCATAGCGTGTTGCTAGCGCGCTGAGCGCATACAGTGCGCATACAGACCGTACCCAGAGCGCACATGATAACAACTTCCACGAATGCACAGCGTGTTGCTAGCGCGCTGGACGAATGGTCCAAGCATGCACCGCGTTCTACGACGCACGGCCAGCGCATTGGAAATCGGAAAAGGACGTGTGCCTAGCTTTTGTCATGATTTTGGAAAAGCTAGCGAGCTGACACAAAATGCACAGCGTGAAGCTAGCGCGCTATGCGTATACAGGGCGTGTGCTCCGTGTATGTCTGGCGCTGGTCTAGCGCGCTCAACGCACGTCTGGCGTGCCTTTGGCGTGTACATTCATGCGTCGAACTCCGAGCACCATTCTGAGCATGCTCAAAAAATCTCGACGCACACAGCGAATGACGACGAATGCATAGCGTGGGTCCAGCGCGCTCGTCGAACGAGTACGAGTGATGACGCACGCCTAGCTAACGACAACACACCGGCCAAAATTGCAAATTTTCCATGCGCCGGCCGTGCGTCCTCCATGCGTAATCTCTGTGTGACCGGGCCTTTAACGGGAAAAGTATTTTCCTTGTGTGCTTTTAATCTGTATCTGAACGTCTAATACAGGGATCTATTACAAAGCAGTTTTTGTTTACTGAACAGACTACCCTGTATACAGAACACAGAATAGATAAATGAATTAGTAAATAAATTAATAAAATTATCAATTTATGTATTCATTAAATAATAAATGATCGAATAAAATACCGTATAGGGCTGTAGGGAGGAAAACAAAAGGAAAAACAGAGAACATTTATTTCATGAAATTCTTCCAAAACAAAAAGAAGAATGAGAAAGCTCACAAATTCTTTATCACTCTAAATGACATAGTGGACAAAAATATGAAAATGATATAGAACATATTATTATATAAACATAGGAAAAGTGCTTCAAGGAATTGAATTCAAAATAGAAATAATGGGTGGTATAAAAGTAAATAAACTAATGATCATCATCTGACAACCAAATAGGTTTATACTGTGCTACCTTTCCTCCTCCTTCACCCCATTCAGCTCATCTCATCTCAAAGCTGGAATAAAGACGAACCCGCTACGAGAAGTATTATTCTGTTAGACATAGCAAAGGCGTTTGTCATTTCTTTCCAAAGCCGAGCTGAACATCATGATAGCCTACATTGACCCCCAAATACCGGTTTATTGCAGTTTGGTCTACAACCAGTTCGTCTATACCACCCAATTGGTATTTTCTCATATGGCGTACATACAGCACTTCTACTATATCCACATGGTCTCATAATCATTTCGTCTACTTATCATTTGGTCTAATGATCATTTAGGCTCAAAGCGTGTATGTATGGAGCAGTGCACATGTCCTGTTTTTGTGCAGTCAAAATTGACTTAGCTCACATCTTTTTGCTGGTATAAATGGATTTGTTCCATGAATATTGATGCTACATGTCTGTTTATCTGTGAGCATATTCTTGGGATGGAATGGAGTAGTTTTGTCCTGTATTTTTGAGCTACTGGCTTGCACCTGGATTTATCTTTTTGGACAAACTTCACATACTGTGCCCACCTATAGCCATTCAAGCTGGTTCACTGTTACTGTACATGTTGTAGCCTACTGGAGTCATACCTGGCTTGTAATTGAATCTGCATGCATGTACGTATTATCACAATACATTATCTCTTATACTTAGTCTCACCAGGGACGTGATAGAGAAGGACTGGCATCAAGCCGCTCTCCTTTGACCCCATGCTCCAAGCCGCCGAAAAGTTATGCGCTAATCTGCAACTGTTGACCAGGTGGTGAGATAAAAGAGCCATGAAATTTCAGGATTTAGAATTCCTACATCAGAAAATGGTATCACAGCAACTGTTCGCTGTCCCTTCCAATGATTTCTCATCCATTGTTGAATGTGTACAAGTAAAACAAGCGAACACAAACTTGTGTAATTTTATCCTTTTTTAAACTTGAAAAATACAAAAAACACGCGAAAACACGCATTAGCAAACTTAATGTTATTGAAGATTGTAAATCATGGATCAAATAACGGGACATTAAAGCATGCACAAATTAGCGCATCATCCTAAAATATTGAATTTTTGACAGGATGTAATTTTTCTTTTACCAACTCTGGCACACAAATTAAAGGAAGGACGGAGTTCTAAATTTGAAGATTTGTTTGATGTACTATTCCCAATAAAATCCCCATATAAAGTTTTTGATTTACACTGAAATTTTGCTGGTAATTTAATATTTTGTAATAAATGTAAAACTGGTGCCTGGCTTCCGAAAGTCCCCGCAGTGGAAGCGCGGTTCGGAGCATGGAACTTCAAAGCCAAGTGGAATGTTACACATCCCATTGTTACGCTTTAGAACTCAAGAGTGCGTTTGAATAAATTACAAGAGTTTCGCCTCCTTTTCTTTCACCTCCCTGGTCTCACCAGGGACATGATGGAGAAGGACTGGAATCAAGCCGCTCTCCTTTGACCCCATGCTCCAAGCCGCCGAAAAGTTATGCGCTAATCTGCAACTGCTGACCAGGTGGTGAGATAAAAGAGCGCTTGAATTTCAGGATTTAGAATTCCTACATCAGAAAATGGTATCACAGCAACTGTTTGCTGTCCCTTTCAATGATTTCTCATCCATTGTTGAATGTGTAAAGAGTAGAACAAGCGAACACAAACTTGTGTAATTTCATCCTTTTTTTAACTTAAAAAATACCCCAAAAACACGCAAAAACACGCATTAGCAAACTTGATGTTATTGAAGATTCTAAATCATGGATCAAATAACGGGACATTAAAACATGCACAAATTAGGGCATTATCCTAAACTATTGAGTTTTTGTCAGGATATAATTTTTCTTTTACCAACTCTGGCACACAAATTATAGGAAGGACGGAGTTCTAAATTAGGAAATGTGTTGATGCACTATTCCCAATACAATCCCCATATAAAGTTTTTGATTTACACTGAAATTTAGCCGGTAATTTAATATTTTGTAATAAATGTAAACCTTGTGCCTGGCTTCCGAAAGTCCCCGCGGTGGAAGCGCGGTTCGGAGCATAGAACTTCAAAGCCAAGTGGAATGTTACACATCCCATTATTACGCTTTAGAACTCAAGAATGCGTTGAATAAATTACAAGAGTTTCACCGGCTTGATTCCAGTCCTTCTCTATCAAGTCCCTGGTCTCACCATGGCATTGGCTGGTATTAAACCCAATCTAGTTACAGTGTGTGCATGATACTAGCAATGTACCATAGGTATTGCTACTGAGTGGTGATTACAACAATGTCATTTTTGTGCTGCAATGACTAGATCTAGATCTAGTGGTAATGATAATCACCGAATGATTAGACCTTATGAATAGTAGACGGAATGGGCATTAGAGAAACCGGGAATTAGACAAAGTGAACAAAAGACCAATTTGGTAGTAGACTTTTATTTGAGATTAGACCGAATGGAAATATGACCAAATGGCTATTAGCCTAAATGGTCAATGGACCAAATGATAAGTAGACGAAAAGATTATTAGACAATTGGGTAGTAGACAAACTGGTTGTAGACCTAACGGCAATTAACCAAAATGCCATCATTATTTTAGCTGATTATATAACATTATTTGAATAACACAAAAAACATACCCCAGGGAAAATCATGATAAATTCCAATTCCTCCTGACTATGTATGGACATCAAGTCTGCTTGTCCTTCCATGGTGATAACGTCACGACAGTTCGACAAGGCTTGGTGAAAGGTCACCTTTTCGGGAAAATAACCATAGCAACTGCTTCTGAAATAGATCCACGAATCGGGACAGCATCTTGAATCGGGACAGGTCCAAGCTGATTTTGAAAGACATAAAACAAATTCTGTCAGTATTGGAGAGATATTGGGGTTCAGGGCTGTCTCAGAACTACGAACCGCAGGGTCCGGGATTCGAATCCCTGTCGCATCACCACTGTCCTTTCGTGAAGACATTCATCTATATATGTCACTTTCCAACCAGGTGAGGTAAATCGGTACCTGTTAGGAATTAAGTCCTTTAAAGACTTGAGCGTTAAACAATGGCAGCCCGTGCTCAGCCGGGGTAGTAATAATAGAGCGACATGAGTGACAATGTGCTAGACACACGCAAGGTGCTCAAGGCACTCCAATATTACCCCGATTATGTTAGGCTACAGATTTGGGGCTAACAGTATTTGAGGAATCCCTTCCTGCCAGTACCAATTTAACACCTGGGTGGAGAATGGCAAATGTAGATCATTGTCTTGCCAAAGGACATTAGTGCCGTGGCGGGAGCCGAACCGCGAACCATGTGATACAGTCTGCAGACGTGTCCACTAGAACACGACTCCTCCACATGACAGAAATTCTTAATCTGAACGTATTAAAACATACCACAAATTGGACCGTGATATCCTGATGCACACGTGCACTCAAATCCATCGAGCGTCTCCGCGCAAATTCCTCCATTCTGACAAGGAGACGAGAGGCAAGCTGTATTATTTTGAAAAAAATAACTGTAGTAGTAATAATAATAATAATAACAATAATAATAATAATGATAGTAATAATGATAATGATAATAATAGTGATGACAACAATAATGATAAAATTACAAGCGATGATGATGATTTGAATTGAATTGAATTGAATTTATTTACCACTTTCATAAAAACATACAAAGGCAAAGAATACAATACTTTTTTGCAAACATAGAAAAACCACTAAAATGGAAAATACACTAAAGGAAATTACGAAGTGGTTGGATCATCAAAAAAGTTACAAAAACTTATAAGGAGATGATCCTAAAAATGTACACAAAAAAAACTAAACAAAAAGGGGACAAAGAAAATACAATACTACAATGGTAATTACACACATAAAAATTGCGTTTGTCAAATTCAAATTTGCTGTATCAGGTGAAGTTTTAAATGATGCTTAAAACTGTTTAAAGATGCACACTGTTTAAGTTTAGGGGGTAGTTTGTTCCAAATAGTGGGTCCTTGGCATAAAAAGATACTATTTGAAAATGAAGAATGACCATATATTACACGAGTGTCTGCTGAAGTCCTGGTATTATATCTATGAATATCGTTATTGCTCTGAAATATATTACAAAAGATTTCTGGTAATAGGTTATGATAATATGAATACATAAAAACACAGAGTTGAAAATCATGTAATAATGATATTGGGAGAATATTCAGTTTCAAGAAAAGAGGTCTGCTTGGACTTAAAAATGGCTTGTGGCAAATTATACGAACTGCTCTTTTTTGTAGGAGGAAAATACGATTAAGTAAATGCTGTTTACAAAAACCCCATATAATGTTACAGTAGGATATATAAGGCAAGATTAGTGAGTTGTATAACATTATGAGAATTTTGGTTGGCAAGATGTCTTTAAGTTTACTCATAATTCCTATTGTTCTAGACACTTTACGTAGAACTTCATAGACGTGTGTTTTCCATTTAAGATCTTTATCAATATTAATGCCTAAGAACTTGGTTGAATTGGTATGTTCAATCAGATTTCCATTCATATATATTTTTACTTCACTAACACACGTCTTTGGAAAGTTAAATAACATAACATTGGTTTTTTCATAGTTAAGTTGCAGTTTATTTGCTTTAATCCACTCACTAACCTTTAAGAGCTCAGTGTTTAGATTTTTGGTCAGGCATTCAACATCTTTATGCTTATAAAATATATTTGTATCATCCGCGAACAGTATAAAATTCAAAATGGGAGAGACTGAATGTAAATCATTTATATAAATTAAGAAGAGCAGTGGGCCTATAATTGACCCCTGCGGAATACCACAGGAAACTGATTGTAAACTTGAATTTTTAGAATTGAAAACAGTGAATTGTTTGCGATCATTTAGATAACTGCGAAATAATTGAAGAGTAACACCACGAATTCCATAATAATAAAGTTTTGAAAGGAGGATATCATGGTTAATTGAATCAAACGCTTTTTTAAAATCCAAAAATATACCAACAATGATTTCTTTGTTTTCAATTGCCTTTGATACTTGTATTAAAAAATCTAAAAGAGCATGATCAGTTGAATACCTGGCCCTAAATCCAAACTGCTTATTATAAAGTATACTATGTTTATCAAGAAAACCGTGTAGTCTGGTATAGATGCATTTTTCAAAGATTTTAGAGAAGAGTGGAAGTAATGAAATGGGTCTGTAATTTGAGAATATATCTTTAGGTCCCTTTTTATGAATGGGAATAATTTTGGCAATTTTCAGGTCAACAGGTACAACACCTTGCTCAATACATGAGTTAAAAATATTGCACAACGGTTTACATATGACATGAATAACCTTTTTCACTACAGAACAATCAATGGAGTCAAAACCAGGAGCTTTACCATTTTTGAAAGATAGAGCATTATTAATTATTTCTTTTTCAGTGATGGGTAAGAAATATGCAGTATGAGGAAAATTGCTATTTAAATAAGAGGTACAGTTAATATTCGTTACGTTCCTGTTCATACTAGCTAATTTATGACCAACATCTTTAAAATAATCATTAAAGCTCTCAGCAATTTCTTTAGAATCACTTACTACTGAATTGTTACACTTAAACACAGAGGAATTTTTCTGATATTTCTTTCTCTGGAGAATATCATTAATAGTTCTCCAGGTTTTATTAATGTTTCCTTTAAATGTACGAAACTTTGAAAAGTAATAATTTCTTTTGGCACTACGAATTTGGTTTGTGTAAAGATTACGGAATTTGTTGTAGCAATCTTTTCGGAGTTCAGTAGGATTTTTAATGTACTTTTTGTAAAGGTAATTTTTTCTTGAACACATCCTTTTCAGTTCTTTAGTAAACCATGGTTTATGATTTTTCTTATAAATTATTTTTTTGAGTGGAAAACAAGTACGATAGATCTCAGAAAAAACCTCCATAAATTTCTCATACATCAGGTTTGGCTCCTCAGAATAAACAGAAAGCAAACAGGTAAAATCAGTTGTAGAGAGATCTCTAAGAAAACAGTTGACATTCATATCATTAATTTGATGTTTGAATACCGCTGGTTGTTCTTCATGAATACCTTTAAAATCAAAAACTCCAAATATTGGTAAATGATCAGATATTTCAGAGGTCAATATACCAGAAAAAATATTGCAGATACTATTTGTAAATATGTTATCTATCAAGGTTGCTGTGGAATCTGTTATTCTTGTTGGCTTTGTAATTAGAGGAGCAAAACAAAACGAATAAAAAAGTTCCACCAACTCATTACACAGGTTTTGCACATCTAGTTTCATCAAGTCAAAATTAAAATCTCCAAGAAATATACACTCCTTTTTCTCTATGTACACTTTGCACAAGATGTTCCTAATGATATCAATGAAATTAGCCTGTGATTGATCTGGAGGTCTATAAAAAACGCCAACAATAACATTTTTACCTGGCTTAAAAACTTCTATAAAAAGACTCTCACAAACAGGGTTAAAGACCGAAATGTCATTGCGTACAATGTACCTTATGTCATGCCTAATTGCAAATGCAACTCCTCCTCCTCTCCTGTCGTTACGGGATTCACTCTCCACATTATAGCCTTCAATATAAAACTCCTTTCTTACCTTAGTATCTAACCATGTTTCACTAAATGCTACAAGACCAAAAGAGTGTTCTAGAGTTGAGAGTACAGATGTTATGTCATCATAATGTTTAGGCAGGCTTCTGCAATTTATATGTAACAATGAAAAAGCATTGCTTTTGGTTAAATCTTGATTCAAAAATTCTTCAGGAGTCATATACATTGAGCCATTTTCTACTTCTTCCATCAAAAATCATGATAATGATAATAATAGTGATAGTAATAATAATAATAATAATAATAATAACGATAATAATGCTGGTGATAATAATAATGATAAGCATCATCATCATTACCATCATCATTTTTATTATTATCATTATTAAATGGAGTTTGCTCGTTTCAGTTAGCAAAACAAATTAAATGGCATAATTAGTGTTGTAAAAAAGGCAGATCACCAATCACAAAGACTCATCTGTTCAACAGGAGTAGAAGCTTAGCCAAGTATAATATAAATTAAGTCGATATCGGGTTCTTGTTCTGATAGTGATTTATGTTATATTTAATTATAGCAGTTTATAGTTTATAGTTTTCCTCTCTTTTCATAAAGCTCTAGTGGGAAGGGACAAATCCATGACTAAGGCTTCCCTCATTTTTATAAAAATTTCGAAATTCGTCATCGAAAAACCCTTACTTTGAAATATCTACAAAAGTTTTAAATTAATTCTAGTTCGAAATTCACGCATTAAGTAAACACCGAACCGAATGGTTTTTTTCACAACAAGTTGACATTAGACTAAACAATCGCATCTTCCTGCACAAAATTAGCAACAGTAATAATACAAAACAAAGTAATAAAATACCTGTGACAACACACGGTCGTAGGTTTCAATGAAAAATAATTCCTTTCCAAACCTGCTCAGGCGCATGATTAACATACATAAATATGTATGAGGTTCCTTAAAAATGTCATACCTGGAAATGTACAGACTAGTCTGTGAGTAATAGTCTGATCCAACTCTGGCAACCAAATATCTTCATCGGTCACTGATTTCGGTACTAGGGCAATGGTGTCTCCATTCTCCAAAGTAACGGTGCCACATGAGAGAGAGTGCAGCGGGCAGCTCCCGGGGAGCTCACCGGACGTACTGAAAGAGGCAACCCGGGCAGCTGGAAATAAGCAAATATGCATGGTGTAAAGCGAAAAAACTGTACCAAAGTCATATTGACAGTTATATAGTTTGCATATCATGCCCTAACATAGAGTAAATCTTTAGTATTTAAAATTTAGAATTGTTATTTTATATAAAATATTGCAGAAAAATTAAATTTTAAATTTATAAATGAATGACATTGATAATACAATAACTTTTAGTTAATAGGAGTTTTCGTAAAGATACGTGCATACAATAACATTAAATAACCTAAGCAAAGGCATGGTGAAATCAATTTCTTAGGTTGGTAATTTCTAAAGCAGGTAATCAGCGGTAATCAGTATAAAAAAGTATAAAAAGCAATTCATAAAAAGTGAGGG